GAAACCTCTGATAGACATTAATTTAATAAAATACATTCACCTTTCGGCCCCCACTGATTCCTTACTAGCTAATGCGCAGAAACCACGAACGTTATTCAAATGGGCAGGCCTGTGACTATTTTTGGAAATTATTCTCCCCTTCCTAACCTGCCCCATGCTAAGTAACCTACCCCCCCATGCTAAGTAACCTACCCCCCATGCTAAGTAATCTACTCCCCATGCTAAGGAATCTGCCCGCCATGCTAAGGAATCTGCCCCCCATGCTAAGGAATCTGCCCCCCATGCTAAGGAATCTGCCCCACATGCTAAGGATCTGCCCCATGCTAAGTAATCTGCCCCCCCCATGCTAAGGAATCTACCCCATGCTAATATCCTGCTCCTGTGAACACTGCACTAGGACCTGCTCTAGAGCCTTCCCACGCTGACTGATCCTGCTGGGACGCAGGCCAGCGCCCCTCCATCCGGAAACTCGGAACTCGCTTACCTGCTCCCGCTGGAATGGTATTGTATTAAGGCACCTGGAACTATAGTAGGTATTTATTAACCCCACCACACGGAGGGGACTCCAAGAGTCTGTCCTGAAGATACTTTCCCCTGGTCCATGGTGTTTAGCTTTTCTAGTCTCCTCGCAGCCAGGAGTGGCCCTGTGACCCTGTGACCCTGCGCTGGCCCCTGAGACAAAGTGGAATTCCTTTGGGCAGCTGCAGCTGGGGCCTGTGCTTCCTGTTCCGGGAGGCAAGCACCAGGATGAAACCATGTGCTAAAGGTGGGAGGGGGTGGAGGACGGGGGAAACATAGACAGAACCATCACGAACACACTCGTTCTAGAATCTATGGACCCAGACATTTTCACTCAAGGAAATCCAGCGGGTCCCTTCAGTTCTATGGGGAAGCAATGAGGTAGCAAAGTTAGGGTGTGGGATCTGGCCACAGACACATCCCAGTTCAAGTCCTCACCAGGGGTGTGCGGGGACTCAGTCCTCTGGCCCTCACTTCCTCCCCTGCGGGATGGGACTAAGGCACTCACTCACCTTGCAGGGCTGTGTGAGCGCGAATGAGAGAATGCACTTTAAATGCCTGGTCTCCTATCTAGCACACAGCAAGCACTAAAACAAACATTTCCGACTACAAATGCAGACTACCCCGCCCACGCCCCTCCCCAGCAAAACTGTCTTGAAGCCAACTTTTCAAACGAACAGCCCTTTCCAGACCGGGCTTGGAAAGCTGCACCCATTTCCTAAGCTGCTGAGAACCCTGGCTGCCTCTCCCCTGCCATTTTGTAACCACCAGCCGCAAGAGGAACCCTAAAATACTCTACAAAGACAGCCCACAACGTCCCAGTTGATGTAACCACTGTAGTACCCAAATTAAAATTATCTCAGGTTAAGGAGTTTTTTGTTTTTTTATTAATGTTTGGAGAGAGAGGAAGGGAGGGGGGGAGGGGGAGAGAGAGAGGCATCGGTTTGAGAGTGGAATATCGATCGGCTGTCTCCCACATGCCCCGCACTGGCGTTTGAGCCTGTGACCTGGGCACATGCTCTGACCGGGAATTGAACCAGCAACCCTCAGTGCACGGGAGGACACCCAAGAACCAAGCCACACCAGCCAGGGCAGGTGAGGGAGGGTTTTAAAAACCTATCCAGATAAGAGAGTGCAAGGCTGTGAAGCCGAGGTTTGAAGTGGCTGGCCAAGGTACATTCTTTTTTCCTCCCCCAACCTGTGTGTGAAAGATGTTCTCTCTCTCTCTCTCTCTCTCTCTCTCTCTCTCTCTCTCTGTCTGTCTCGGATTGGCTCTGTGATCAAGTCAAAAACCTACAAGTAGGCCTGCGGGCTGGAGACCAGGGAACAGGCACAGCTCAGGTCCAAAGGTCGTCTGGCAGAATTCCCTCTTTGGGGAGGCCAGTCTTTCTTTTATTAAGGCTTTCAATGGACCGGCTGTGGCCCACACTACAGAGGGTAATCTGCTTTCCTCAGCACTAATCTCATCTAAAAACTACCTTCACAGAAACATCTAGAATAAAGTTTGACCAAATATCTGGGTCCCATCGCCCAGCTACGTTGCACATAAAGTTAACCACCCCAGGGGTTTACAGCAACCAATGCAAACAAGTTCCAATCCAACAGGGGCCACTCTGTCCGTCCTTCAGTTCTCCTCCAACTGTCAGCCTCCTGCGGTCTGGCTGGCCCCCTGCCCCTCTTCCCCCCTCCCTTCCTTCCTGCTCTACCTGCCCCACCAGGAGCGAAGCCCAGCGCCTGTCCTTGGGGCCTGCACAGCAGTCTGGCTCTCCATCAATTGCCAGGTTCCCCCAGTCCATCAAGGCATCAGTCCCTGGGAGGTTTTGTCACTTGCCTGGGGACACAGCTAGGAAGGGGTGGAGCTGGCATTTAAACCCAGGTGTTCTGACGTAGAAGTCTGGGTTCTCACCCTATTCAGACTGCTTACATCTGAAATGTGCTACCCAGGATCATGTTAGATGGTCTCACGGGTACATTTAAAGACATTTCTAGACTTAAATATTCAATTTAATGTGGACTAGGAAAAGAGCATGAACTAACTCATCAGAGTAATGATTTCATGGGTATAATCACACAGGAAGAGGCCGAATTTAAAAAGGTGAGCCAACAAAAGGAAAACACCATGAAAATAAAACTGAAGGCAGCCCGGGGCAGATATAAAACATCAGGCAGTGCCTGAAGGAGGAGCCTGGAGAGCCGAGCCTGGATCCACAGCCCTGGGCGAGAAGGTAAGGAGTTAACTGGTCCTGAATCCTCCTGCTGCTCATGGGTGATGGCCCCATAGAAGACACTGAGGGATTTTGTTTTTTTCCCCCTAAAATCAAAAGAGCGGAAATCCGGGACTCTACTCTTATTTCTTTGAGCTCAGTGAGGGAACAAAACCTATTCATCAGCTCCCTCCACAGGGGCAGTCAAAGGCTCCAATTCCCAAGTGAGAATCGGCTCTCCCCACACCCTGAAACCTGACCTGTGAATGTGGCTGCCACCCAGCCAGTGACTGCTCTTTCTCAGTGACGCCAAGACCGACACAGGCTGCACGAGAGTCAGGGCCCCGGGTTGGCACCCTGGCTCTGCCACTAACCCAGACTGTGCCCCAGCAATGACGATCCACCAATGAAAACCACACTGGCTAACAATTATGGACACATATAGTCTGGCAGGCACCGTGCCAAATGCTTCCCAACATGACAACACAACAACCCCGACCGACAGGTGCTATTATTATCCTTACTTTATAGGCAGGAAACTGAAGCACAGAGAGGTGCTTAACTTGACTCAAGAGCCCTTTCTCGACATCATTCCCTGTGACCCTGAAGACAGACTTTGGCTCCAGCACTTGGAGATCAAGGAGTCAGAGCTTCCTGGCAGCTGTGGGAAGGGGTAGAGATTCTGACTCAGGGGGCCCACGGCTGGAGTGACCTCGAGCATCCCTGATGTGGGTGCCCCAGGACCCCACTTTGAAGACACTGTCCTCCAACATTCTGTCTCTGGCCAGCTGGTCTGACCCAGAAGCCTGCAAACTAGGAGCCCATGTGCCAAATGCAGTGTTTTTGTAGGGCCAATCAAAGTAAGAATGGTCTTTACACCTTTAAATGGTTGGGAAAAATCCAAAGAATAATAATATTTCATGATGTGAAAATTACATGAAATTCAAATTTCAGTGTCCATAACTAAGGTTTGATTGGACACAGTCACGTTCATTCATGGACAGATGCAGCCGCCTCTGCTTCCGTAATATAACGGCAGAGTTGGGTAGTTGCAACAGAGGCCAAATGGCCCACAAAACCAGAAGTATTACGACTGATCCTTTACAGAAAAGTCTGCAGAGACTGGCCTAGTCCACCCCCCAGCCAATGCGGGACTCCTCTTTACAGTCCCTTCCCTCTGGCCTCTGCTTTCACACCTCCAGTGGTGGGGAGCTCACTACCAAGCCAGGCAGCCAGTTCCATCTCTGAAAGGTGGTAGGGACAGCTATCTGTGCTGGCACTGGACTCTCTCTGAGCCTTGTGGAATCAGCCCTATCATTCCTCCACAATGGCCATCAGTTCCTCTCTTCCCTCTGGTATCAATCCTTCCCTGTCCTCACCTGTCCCCTCAGTTGTTCCCCACCGATCCCCTGGGGAACAGGGAGAACAGCAGGCGGCTCTGCTACTTGACAGACAAGGGTGTGGGCGATGCAGAGGGAACGTGGCAGGAACAGAGCTGGAGCTGGACCCAGGGTTCCTGCCTCCCAGCCTGGTGGCCCCTCGACAACGTTGCTTGAGCGTCCAGTTTGGTTTTTAGCTCATCACTCCCAAAATGGCATCCCAGAGGGCCCGAGGTCTGCTCTCCCTAGTGGACACCTGTGGTCTCTTGTCCACGATTCCTTCTTGTGGTTCGGCTTTTGTGGCTCCAAGAGCAGCTCTCCCTGACCTTTCCCCTTCTCCCATCCACCCCAGGGTTCAGCCTTAGGCTCTGAGATCTCCCATCACATCCTGCTACCCGTCCCCCTCCCCCAACGACTGGGGGCTGGTCCCCAGGGTGCCCACATTTACAGTCGCTGCTGGTGTGCCGCTTGCTTTCATGAGTCCGTTGGGTCTCTGGCTCAAAGACCCAGCGGTGAGGTGACAGCCAGAAATTGAAAATGGATCGGTGGGTTGCCTTCTGACGTCTGTCTCTAAGATGTGGCCAGTGAGATGTGTCCTCAGAGAATACCTGGGAAAGGTTTTGAAATCCTTGGAAGAAGACGGCTGTGTCAACACTGCCTAGTCCTAGTTCTCCCGGATCCTTTCAGCCACAGCCCGCTCCTGGGAAGTCTGCTCTCAGGTGAGGGAGAGTGACCTGGAAACGGGCCAGACCCTCGTGTGAGTCACAGCCAGGAAAGCTAGTCTGTACGTAGAGCAGTAACTGTGGATCTTGAAGGGTGGGACTGATGTAAATTTCAACTGAGCAGCGGTCAGCCAGAGGCAGCGTGATGAGGATGCAAGAGAGGAGCCAGGCTGTGTCCGGACTCCCACCCTGATGAGCTGTGAGGCTCAGGCAGCGATACCTTCCCTTAGACTTTTGGTGAAAAGGGGAAAGACAGGCCTATCTTGTAGGGCCACCGTGCAGAGGCATACCGAGGAGACGAGCATGGCACCTGGCATGTGATATTTGCTCACAAACTGTTACCTTCCTTTTCCCCTAACACCGTGGCCGGCAAACGGCGGCTTGCGAGCCACATGCGGCTCTTTGGCCCCTTGAGTGTGGCTCTTCCACAAAATACCACGTGCGGGCGCGTGTACAGTGCGATTGAAACTTCGTGGCCCATGCGCAGAAGTCGGTTTTCAGCCTGGGCGAGTCTATTTTGAAGAAGTACTGTTGATATTTGGCTCTGTTGACTAATGAGTCTGCCGACCACTGCCCTAACATAATGGGACAGTGCCCTGCTGGTGTGACGATGGTGGAAATAATACAAATGGCGATGGTGACAGCAAGAGCTACGGTTTCACGCCCACCGGCAAGGTGCCAGGCTCTCTCCAGGGATATCTCACTTCATTCTCACACCCACCCTGAGAGGTAGATGCTAGTATGACCACCATTCCACCGCCGAGGAAGCGGAAGCTCAAGCGCAAAGGCAGACAGCGAGGGAGCCCGAGTGCTGGGGTGCTTCTGAGAGAGCACAAAAGCAATGGCTGGACCTGAAGGGGTCAGAGAAGACCTCAGGGTGAGGTGACGATGCCTGGCGTCTGAAGGGTGCACAGGGGGCAGGTTGAGGGGGCAGCACCGGAGCTCTGTGAGTGGTCCCCCTGATGAACACCATTAGAACCACTGTGCTCGGGGACGCCAATTCTACGGGGCCAATTCTACTCTCAACAGGGACGGAGTCGGCAGCCTTGAGATGATTTTACTCCTGCAGTTTACAGAAATACAAGCAGCTAAAACTAGGGCACCAATAATCACAGATATCGGTGGTACTTCTGCTTCTTTATCTAAAAGAAAAAATATGGAATACTGAGGGCATTAACTCAGTGGCTCATATTCTTCATTTTACTTTTACAGCCTCTTCTGCTTTGGTTCAAACCTCAGTGGCTCTGGGAAGTTCATCTGAGCTTTCCTATCATTTCACTGGGATCCTGGGTGAGTCACTCTTTCCAGCTTCCCCTCTCTGGGTCTGTGTCCTGTGTAAAATGTGTGGTTCAGTAGATGGGCGTCGACCCACGAACCAGGAGGTCACGGTTCGAATCCCTGTTGGTGGAGTGCAGGAGGCAGCCGATCGATGATTCTCTCTCGTTATTGATGTTTCTCTCTCTCTCTCCCTTCCTCTCTCTGAAATCAATAAAAACATATTTTTAAAAAATGAAGGCAACGGGCTGGAGTAGAGATTTTCAGTATGTGGTTTCCAACCCAGTGTCATCAGCATCCCCTGAGACCTTGTTAGAAATACCAATTCTTCCAAAAAAAAAAAAAAGAAAAAAAGAAATACCAATTCTAGGGCTTTACCCGACCTCTGGGGTGGGGCCCTGCCTGCCACGAAGAGCCCCAGGGTAAGGACCCCTCCCGCAGCAACACTTGGTTTGTGCTTTAAGGCATTATGATTTGGATAGAGTCTTTCTTGCCCAAGGAGGCCACGCTTGAGCGTAGGAAGAGAAGCTGTTTTCTCTGACCACGAGGGCCCCGAGTCCAGGCGAGCCTCTCTAGAAAGCCTCGGGAAGATGTGGCTGACTTGGCCAGACACTCTTTTTTAAAGGAGCACGTCTCACACTTGGCATGTGATGAAAGCAGCCCCATTTGTAGTTGGCGAAACAGAGATGAAAGGAGAGCTGCCTTCTCTTTTCAGCTCCCAAACAGTGACTCCCCGGGGGGTGTGCTGGGGGGGGGGGAGTGGGGGGGGGCGGTCCGGCGGTGGTCCTGAGAGGGCAGGCCCCCACCCTGGTCCAGGAGCTTCCAATGAGTACATCCTCTGCCGCCACACCCCTCTTGGGGAGGTTTGATGACACAGCCTCGGAAGGGCCATTAACAGCCACGGTGGCGATTACAACACAGAGCTGGTCGGCAGACCTAAGTGAGGCCTGGCTCCCAGGAACAGTAGGAAAGGAAAGATAGTTCTGCCTACAAGATCCAATTTTCCTAGCCTGGATTTCAGGCTGAAAAGCAGCCAAGAGGCGAAGAGAGGATGTCACTGAACGGCCTGCGGTTTCCTCATGCAACAAGGAGGCTCAGCCAGGCTGTTCCCGGGTGAGTGTCAGCTGTCTGGGGCTCGGCCTGTGCGTCCTCCCATGGGGTGCGCAGGAGTGAGCACCCACGAGACCTGCTGTCCAGCCATTGCCAGGGACCGCTCTCTGCCCTGCGGGCCCCCCCCCCCCCCCCCGCCGCCGAGCCTCACTTGTTGGCATTTCAGTAACAATGGTAATAAACATGACCTCCTTCTTTTATATAGCACTGGCAAGGTGCCGGGCACCCGTTCTAATTAACCAGTCAATCTTCACAACCACCCCACGGAGAGAGGGGCCATTGTGATCCCATAATTACAGGAGAGGAAACCTAGGCAAGGGCGGTAACGTCACAGAACCAGCAAGTCTCCCGTCCACAGGGAGTCGGGAGTCAGGAGACCTGGACTCTGTTGGGCTGTGCCACCCACCGAGGGACGCGGGAGGCGCGATCAGGTGGTTCCTAAGGCCACTTCCAGCCCAGAGCGCCGGCCACTCTGTGTCCAGCTGATGCCGGTGGGCGCGGGCTGCCCAGGAGGGCACGTCCCGAGACTTCGGCCTCCAGGACTGGCCGCCTCGTCCAGCGGGCTCCCAGGCTCTGGCCGGGGCCGGCGAGGCAGGGCTGCCTAGCACCCTCCCCCGCGCCCCCACAAGTCGCCGCCCAGGCGCCAAGCCCCAGTCTCCGATCCCAGGAGAATGGACTGCTAGCCCTTCTCAGGTATCTGTGTCTGGAGGGCCCGGCGAGCCAGGAACGAGAGGGCCAGAGTCCCCGGCGGCGCGCCCTGGGTTGGGGAAGAGACGACGACACACCGAGGGAACCAACGACTGCAAAACCACGTCGTCCCTTTAACCCTTCAAACTTTCTCCCTGGATTCGCGACCCCAGCAGCCGTCCATTGGCTGAGCCGCGAGAGGACCCGCCCTCTCTCTTTACCTACTGGCTGTTGTAGGCACCCATCACGACGCGAGGCTTCCTAACGGGCCACAGTTTTTGTCAATCAAGAGGGGCGGGAGACGGGGCGGGGCCAGGTCTGGGAGAGACGCGCCAGCCTCGTTCCCCTCCCGGCCTCCCTCCGGTGTGCGGCTGGGGACCTCGGGCGCCCGAGGGGCCTCAGGCTGGGCGCGGAGCCTCGCGGCAGGGCTGGGCGAGGCTCCGGGGACTCACCGATGCGCTGTCCCACCGGAGAGCTGAACGGGTTCCCCAGGAGAAAGTCCATCGCCACGGCTGCCGCTGCCACCAACCCGTGATATCAGCTGACAGCAACCGCCAGCGCCGCCGACCCGTCACGTGACGCGCCGGCTGGCCCGCGAGGAGGCGCCCGTGGGGGCGGAGCGGAGCGAGTCTGGAATTGGACACAGGCCCCACCCCTGAGGAGGGTCGGCACTCCGAGGGGGAGGGCAGTGACCTCACTGAGGCTCACTCGCCGTCGACGGACGTCACGCACGACGTAGGGCGGTAGGGGGCCTGGGGGCGTGGGGCTCCCTAAGCCACGCCCCCAAGGCTTATTTAAGGTTTAGGGGCGTGGCCTGACGATCCTGTAACGCACCTGGAAAATCGGGTCTCGGCCGTGACTTGGGTAAGGTTACAGAGCAAGCTCGGACGCGGCGCTCACTTTTAAATGTCTTAGTCCTTGGGACGTCACGGTGACTGCACACCCACCGAGGGGGTAGATACCCTCTCTGGCCTGTTGTCTCCCTGTCCTAATAGGACTCTTCCCATCTGAGGTCGAGGTCTCCCAGGTGCAAGCTGAGGCCTGCTTGCAGCACCGATTCTCAAATAGAAGACAAGAGCCAGGAGTTTGCGCTCCCTGGACAGGGAGCCAACTCACTAAATTCAGCTTGGGACAGGCTAGCGCTCCAGGTAGCAGAAAGCACGCAGATGTCGCGAACGGTGCCTGGGACCCATCTCTGCCATTAATTTACAGTGTGATTCAAACAGCTTCCCATTTTCTCTGGATGCTGGAATTAGTTCAAGGACTCTGAGCTTTTTTTTAGGTCACAGGCTCTTTTGAGAATTTGAAGCCACGAGCCATTCTGAAAAGGCAGAGATCCAATATAACTTCGGGGAGTTTTGGGGTCCCTGAAGCACAGCTTTTGACCCCAAGTTGAGAATTAAGGCTCTTAGAGACCTTTCCCAGCTTTGTAATTCCATGTTCTTCAACTTTCCTGTCTGGGCCATGTTTCAGATGTCGCCTACATTAGATGCCTGATCGATGGGTTATGTTTTTTTCTTCTAGACTCCAAAAGAGCCAATAACCACTGCTTTGGTAGTATGGGGCTTTAGTATTTATTGACCAAATTGTCTGTGTGTGATTCTTAAACTTGAAAGGCTAGTAAACTGACTGCACAAATTTAGGATGATGGAAAATCTGTGAACTTACAATCACTTCCACATGTTAACCTGTTTAACAGATGTCAACCTGTTTAAGGGCTGACTTCTTTACAATATAAACACTATGGAAGTCATGACTGCTGTGCTTTGAAGTGTTTTAATAATGCACGTGAGACTTCATAAATGCCTTTCCCCCTACCAGTCTAGATGCTTCATGAGGGCTGGAATACTATGTCTACTTTACTCACCACTGTTGTCCAGCACAATAACAGGACATTTAAGTCAATCTACCTTTCAATAATGGTTTTTGGACTATAAGGGGAGGATGTACATTAGATGATCTTTATGTTGGGTACCATTCATATTTTTCTTCAAGATTATTGCTTGGTTGTATGGAGTATATTTAGCATGAACTTCCTTTGGATTCTTCCATTAGTTTGTGTGGGGTGACTTACCGGAAGTTCTTGCCTTCCTACATCACTCTGGTTTAAAGTGATTATGAGAAGATCTTGGCTTTACTGCCAAGAACAAAACGGCCATAAAGTTTATCCTTCATAGCAAAAAAGCAGAAACAATCATGTGTCCCCTAAACAGGGAGTGGAATCATATAACTCCATGTAAACAGAATACTACATAGCTTTTCAATTAGAAATGGAAGTTTGTGGATTTTGTCAACACAATAGCTAAGAATATAAGTGGCAAATACTATGTTTTAAATGTGTCTAACAAAAATCAAACTCAGTAAATGTTTTTCATTTTTCATTTTAAGTGTTTTAGCACTATTAATATCAAATGCCTTCCTTGAAGGTAAATATTTAGGTCCCTTAAGACTGACATATTGCATAAATGTAATGTAATCTATTACATCCTTTATGTACTGGTAGACAAAAATCACGATACTTTGCCTCCAAAGTTTAAAGACAATAGTATGACGAGAAAAGTGAGGCCTGTTATCATAAAATGCAGCTAGGACAAAAGGACATATGAACAATGAAAGGTCTCAGAGGTTTTCCTACAGTCACATTTGCTAAATACTATAGATAATACTGAAGAAAGATTCTGATGAATTACATACACAATTTACCTTTGAAAGTGGCTTCGGGTAGAAGAGAGCTTAGGCTTTGGGGTTGGCTATACCAGTGTGCTTATTCTGGCTCTGCCATTTAATAGCCATATAACCTTAGGAAAAGCACTTTTCTGCATCTGTCTCCTCACTTGTAAAGAGGAATAATACTCATAAGGCTTGTGGGAGGATTAAATGAGATAAAATATGCAAATTACTCCATAAGAAGTTAGCCTTTTAACCATAGTATTTCACTATTTATGGCTATTAACACCTTGTGTTTGCATTGAAATTTTTACACCCTGAAAGGTCAAGTCTCTATACATTAAATGTTCAGAATATTCCTAAACATTCCTGTCAGCCTGGCTGGCTTCTGGCTTAGAGATAGGGAAGTGACATGAACATTGTTTCACAGAAGGGACTTCGGATGCCTATACAGATTAAGTGACTGATCCAGTATCACTGTCAAGACAGTACTGAAACAGCATGAAATATATTGGAACACATGATTCAGATGTGAATCTTACGCAAGACTGGTATTTCCTTGAGTTAGGTGTACACACTAAGGTACATGCAATTTTATTTGTCAATGAACCAGAGCTATATTTATCAGAGTTATTGGCTTTGTAGTTTACAAAAGAGAGAACATGAGAGACTCCACAATGTAAAAGTTAACAGAAAC